ATCCAGAGATTGAAATTTAGAATCAAGGTTGCGATTAATCTCTGCCATGAACTCGGTAGACATTTCCAGTTTGGCAACCATGGTCTGTAACTCCTCCTGTAAGCTTTGAAACTCAGTTCTAGGTTCATTATAGTCCCTCTCACATTTCCCAGCCATTGACTTAGTGGCATTATCTGATTGTTGAAGCCTATTCTGGGTCTCTTGTACCTTAGTAACAAAGGAATAGGAGAGAGAGCCTAGCTGAGTTTCTAAGCGGCTGCATGCTGTCTCCAATGATTCACAGTCTGCTGCCTGCCTAGCCATTAAGGCACCATGGTCTGTAGTCTGTTTAGTTTGCAGTATCCCTAAACTAGATGTCAGTTCCCCATGGTCTGTAGCCTGTTTAGTTTGCATCATCCCTAAACTAGATTTTAGTTCCTCATGGTCTGTAGTCTGTTTGATCTGTAAGGTCTGAATAAGTTCCTGAATCTCATCACTGTCCTTTGCCCGATCGGCTTTTAAAGACTCTAAAATGGAGCATCTGTCTATTTTTTAATGTGCTGCACTTCAGCTTGAGTAGTAGACAGATCTGCCTGCATCGTATAGAACATTGAATGGAGCCCATCATCCAGTTTTTGTTCTAACAGCTCAAGAAGCAATGAATAGGTAAGTTTTGATTCATTTAGAGCCTGGCTACGTAAGGCTTGTATGTCCTGCAAGTGGGTGGAGAAATCAGATTTCCTTCTGTTCCTGAGAAACAACAACACGTGAATCAATAAATTCACAGCTAACAAGATATATAAGCCAATACTTTGCAAGTCAGCCTGCTCCTCCAGCAGTGAATGCATATAAGCATAAGATATGTTATACATGTCTAACTGCAAAGGAAATGCAGCCATATTTATTGGCAATTCCATTTCTGGTTGCAGTAACCACGTGCTGGCCAGCAGGTGACACAGCGCGTCTATCTAGAGTAGGATCTGACTCATCAGGCAGGTGGCTGTGCCCATGGCTAGAGTTGAAAGGCTTACCCTGCCAGGGTCTGGCCCACAGAGGTGGCAGCAGGTGTAGACAGGCAGGCAGGAACAGGGGAATGGTAGCAGCGTGAAGCGGGTGCTTTCCCTGTGGATGAAAGCTGAAAACCCTCTGCTGTGCACACAGGCAGCTCCTGCGTTCAGGCCCTAAGCTCACACACATAGCTAGCTAAAGTGAGTGCCCGGGAGAATTCTTCCAGGCAGCCGGAGGGCCAGACAAAGCCAGGCCGGGTCTCCTGCAGGCGGGCGGTGTGGAAATACTGCTGCAGGAGTCAGATTCCCGGCGGCATGATTAGGCGCGAGCGCCACACCAGGGGCCGGGGGAGGAGAGGGCCGGGGAGGGAATGCGCAGCAGGCGTCGGGAACTCACTGGATTCTCCTGGGTGCCCCGTGGACTCTTCAGGGTGGTAAAGTTCTTTTGGGCACCACCTATAACGATTAGAGTCTCTTTATTCAAGAAGACACCAGGGCAAAACACAGGCCAGAGCAAGGTTATAGAACCCAGCAAGTGTGGCCAGAACAAAGGGAACCAGGGTCCCCACGTACAGCCCCTTAAGAAGCTCCCTTATGTCACCCCACCTTTCCTTCACCAAGTCCCAGGTCCACCTGGTACCTGTCCCAGGACTATTGGGCAGGGCTAGGGTGTCTCCCTACATTTAAGAATCCCATAATTGGCTGGGCGTTGGTGGCGCACACCTTTAATCCCAGCACTCGGGAGGCAGAGGCAGGCGGATGTCTGTGAGTTCGAGACCAGCCTGGTCTACAAGAGCTAGTTCCAGGACAGCCTCCAAAGCCACAGGGAAACCCTGTCTCGAAAAACCAAAAAAAAAAAAAAAATCCCATAATTGCTCAACATACTTTATCTCTAACCTTGTCTGAGTTCCAGGTGTTTGTCGTCTTCAACCCTGACTATATTTCTTTCCTGACCATTGGGATTTCTTCAAGAATGCAGGCTGACTGGTTCTCAGCAGGGACTAGCTGCAGCCGCTCTTGGTGTGAATGCGTAAGAAGGATCAGACACATACCCTGGGTTTATCATTAGTACTTTCACTTCTCTTATTTTTGTAAAAGGAAAAGCAACCTGTTTTCCTTCAGTAAGGAAAGGGGGAAAGATGCAAATCCCCACAGAGTCCCTGACAAGCTCTGCCTCAGACACCACATCAAAGTCTGCAGCCACAGAGATAGGACACACACACTGCAGCAGATATCATACATGACATGAGCAACACATGGGGTTTTCTAGATTTACCTTCTCTCAATGCTCTGCCCCCTCTAAGGGAACAGGGGACAAATCCTTTGAAGGAAGACTGGGCTCATGTTGCACCTCCCCAGCCCTCCCTGTCTCTCTGAACTAAGGAGCAAGAGCCCCATAAAGGAGCCTCTGCCTT